CATGGTCTTATAGAACTTACTGTAATATTACGGCCTTACGACAAGTAGTTTAATTTCAAAAATTCGTCAAACTTTGCTAAAATTATTATCGTTTTTTTTAAGTAGGATTGATGAAGTATATTATTTACACATTTTTTTTTGATTAAGTCGATTATTTAAACATATCGGGAAGTTCATGTAACTTGCCTCAAGGCTAAATACCAAAGCAACTAGTTTATCATATAGCCCACAGAGTACCTCCAGGAGAACTTAAAAATACAATTTTAATATACATATTATAATAATACAAATATACTAATATATGATATAAAAACACATAACATAATATAATTCATAACATAACAATACATAACACAAAATAAAAAACTCTTAAAAAAATTCTTAACGGTAAAACTAAATTATTTATGATGGAAATAACATATTCGTGACAAAATATTAATTAGAAATTAAAATAATAAAAGATTAACTTGTACAGATGGTAATTAATTGTTTTACTAAAGTATTGTGAATATCGATATCTTTATTAATTGAGTTGAAATTAGAGGACATTAGCACTATAGGTGAGTTTAATAAAGCATTAGTCTTAGGAAAAAACTCTTCAAAAAATTCTTAACGGTAAAATTAAATTATTTATGATGGAAATAACATATTCGTGACAAAATATTAATTAGAAATTAAAATATTAAAACATTAACTTGTACAGATGGTAATTAATTGTTTTACTGAAGTATTGTGAATATCGATATCTTTATTAATTGAGTTGAAATTAGAGGACATTAGCACTATAAGTGAGTTTAATAAAGCATTAGTCTTAGGAGTAGGATATTTGAAAAACATTTGAGTTCGGGATGAGAGTCTAGGAACGTTAAAGGATAGTTGGTCTAGAATTTGAGGACAATCTATGGCATTATTACATAGTTTATATAGGAACAAAATACTATCAGTGAAACGACGTGATACGCAGAATGTATTAAGTAAAATATTGTGGTCGAAACCACGTTCAGGATAAATTTTGTGCATTTTAAAGTATAGATATTTTAAAAATTGTCTTTGAACCTTCTCTATCGCATCTGAATTATTGCTATGGTTAGGATACCAAATGATCGATCCATACTCCAGCTTTGAACGTACAATTGCATAGTATATGCTAATTAGTGACAGATTAAATTCAAATTTTTTGCAGTTTCTTAATATTATTCCTAATGATTTTTGCGCCTTGCTACATATATTAGATATGTGATCTGTAAAAGTGACTATAGATATAAAAGGGACTGTGGCGTCACTTGTTGAGCGAACGTTGTCGACAATCGCGGACTCTCCCGATTGATTAAATGCCACATGTTTTATTTTATAATATAATAGCAATTGTGATGGCTGATACTGAAAGTCTGCGATTTTCGGCAACGTTCGCTCAGTAAGTGACGTCACAGCCCCTTATATGTTTGAGCACTTATTTTGCGCACGACTAGCAGTCCATGCAGTATAAGATCTATGGGATTTACTTATATTCATAAATGTGGTGTCAAAATATAAAATTCCAGCAAATACGCACGAGTAAAGACACAAACTGATATGTGTAGCGGGCAAATCGCGAGTAACACGAGTGCGCTTATGGAAACATTCACCATTATGAAGTACATTACATAACTGGCACACACAATTTCTGCCATGGCCGGTAGCCTCCGAACAAATGTAGATTACCGTGTTTTGAAATGGATTGGTATTTGAATATTTCGAAGGATGGCGCTACGATTTCCAATTTTATTGGTCTAGCAGCTGGCTTGATCGACATTGATTTGATCGGCCATTTTCTATAAGTTGTCAAGTTGTCATCGCGTATTGTAGTTGAGATTTTCTGTGGTTGTTTATATATAATTATGTTTTGGTGAATACTTTTTTCATTTATTATTAAGTTAAAATGATAAAGTGTTATGTGCCAAATTGTTATAACCCCGAATATAATAAAAAAATGCATGTCTTTCCGGCATCTAATTATCAGGTATGTATATAATGATGTATTATGCATATAATGTAATATATATATATACTGCCCGACCATCAAGTAGCCCTTGGTCATCACCGTTACATCCAGTCCAAAAGAAAGACGATGCATGGAGACCATGTGGAGACTACCGAGCATTAAATGCAAGAACAACTTCGGATAGGTACCCAGTCAGGCTCATAAGTGACTACTCACAACACTTATCAGGTTGTAACATATTTTCAATAATAGACCTTAAGAAAGCATACCAGCAGATACCTGTTTACGATGAAGATATTCCCAAGACGGCAATTACAACACCTTTTGGTTTATTTGAGTTCCCATTTATGACATTCGGCCTACGTAACGCAGCGCAAACTTTCCAAAGATTTATGGACGAGGTAACCAGTGGATTAGATTTTTGTTTTCCATATATTGATGATATTCTGATCGCATCCAAAAGTGAAGAACAACATAAACACCATCTCCGTAGGTTGTTCCAACTTTTAGCAGATTATGGTATAGTAGTAAACCCATCTAAATGCATTCTAGGCGCTAAGGAAGTTACATTCCTAGGATACTGCATTACGGAGCATGGTACAAAACCCCCAAAAGAGAGAATAACCGCATTGTTAAATTTTCCAAAACCAAAAACTATAAAAGGATTACGGAGATTCTTAGGCATGATAAACTTTTATCGAAAATTTTGTCCGAATGCTGCCAGATATCAAGCAGATTTACAAGTTTTATTATCAAAACCTAAATCGAAGGACACAAGCCAAATTGACTGGGATGAAAAACTTACAGCAGCTTTCGAAGCTTGTAAGAAGAATTTTGCTGAAGCTACCTTACTAACGCATCCATTGCCGGATGCAGAACTTGCTTTATTTACATACGCTTCAGACAAATCCGTGGGTGCAGTGCTACAACAATATACAAACGGTGAATGGAAACCTCTCGCTTATTTTTCGAAGAAAATTTCTGAAAAACAAAGAACGTGGCCAACGTACTACCGCGAGCTTTTAGCAGGGTATAAAGCATTCCAATACTTCAAGAATCAAATCATTGGTCGTAACTTTATTTGGTTCACCGACCACAAACCACTTATGTATGTTTTTCAGCAAAAACACGACCGTTTACCACCAGTTCAACTCAATCAGATAACATATATGTCACAATTCACGACAGATGTTAGACATGTGAGCGGGACAAAGAATATTCCGGCTAATTTGTTTTCTAGAATTGAATCAATCAGTTCCCAATTGGAAATTACCGAGATAGCAAAAGCTCAAAAGGAGGACAAGAAGCTTAAACAATATTTATCGATGAAAACTGCCTTACAACTTAAGAAACGAAAAATTCCAGGAACAAACTACTCCATATACTGCGATACATCTCAAGGAAGAGAACGACCATTCGTACCTGTAAGTCTAAGAAAGAAAATTTTTGACAGCTTGCATAATTTAAGTCACCCAGGACCTAGACCAACAATAAAACTAGTGACACAGCGCTTCGTTTGGCCAAACATCCGCCGGGACTGTAAGGTTTGGTCCAGAGAATGTTTGAAATGTCAGCGGAGTAAAGTAAGCAGGCATACCGTAACACCCATTAAGGAATTCAATGTGCCAGCATCAAGGTTCATGCAGGTACATATTGATATTGTAGGTCCATTACCTCTGTGCAAAAATTATCGTTATCTGTTAACTGCCATAGACCGATACACTCGATGGGTTGAAGCATATCCAATGCCGGACATTACATCAGAAACGGTAACACATGCATTTCTTTTATGTTGGGTCTCACGCTTCGGAGTTCCAGCACAAGTCACGAGTGACAGAGGAAGACAATTTGACGCCTCACTATTTCGAAATGTGGAATCCACTTGATACAAACATCAGCTTATCACCCGCAATCAAATGGTTTAATCGAGACAGTACACAGGACATTGAAAGCAGCTCTAATGTGCCATGAGGATCATTCATGGATAGAGGCTTTACCATGGGTATTATTAGGACTTCGCTCAGCTGTTAAAGAAGACTTAAAGAATTCTAGCGCAGAACTCACCTATGGAGAACCTTTGAGACTTCCTGGTCAATTTTTTAAAGATCACACGGGTATATCAACTACAACCGTCATGGATAAATTACATAGGATCTTTAGAAATTTAAAGCCACTGCCTACTTCATCTCATAGCCCGAAAAAGAATTCTATCCATAAAGATCTGGACAAGTCTAGTCATGTTTTCATCAGGCAAGATATGATAAAGCCGACTCTGACGCAACCTTATAAAGGACCTTACAAGGTTTTGGAAAAAGGTGAAAAGACTTTTAAATTGGACGTTTTGGGCCAGCCAAAATCCTTTTCTAAAGACAGACTGAAGCCTGCATACACGACTGCCGAAGAACGCACAACAGCAGAGCACGTCACATCTGAAAAATATACAACAAGACGAGGACGGCAGGTACGATTTCAGAATTACAAAGAATAATAATTTTCTTTCTTTTTCACCGTAGGGGGCTGTGCGGCGACACCCAAGTACGGCCCTGCATTAAATACGGGCCTGCAGCAATTGGGAATGCGCACGCATCAAGATGGCCGTCTCAGGCCTGAATAAAAGAACCCGCCATCGAAGCAAAAGGCCTATTCTACCGTTCGGCAGCCAGGAGAGATATACAGCACGATATGAATATTGTACCACGGCGAATGAACAATAACAAACTATACCAAAACTGTTTCAATCCATAAACCGCTTCATATACATATATATATATATATATATATATATATATATATATATATATATATGTAAATATATATTATATATATTTGTGTGTAAAAATTTGTGTATAAAAAGATGTTTTCAATTTGGATGCAGAGGGCGAATAATCTTTTAATGGATGACCTAACTTTTCGGTTTGTGGCACAAATCAACGATAATTTGAAATCGAAACCAAATAGAAGTGTCTCCTTTACGGCAATAACAGAATAGTTTTCAAATCACTGGAGAATGCTCTGATACAGAACCAGAAGAACAATCTGCAACTCCAAGGACAAAGCCAAGTAATTATAACTCTAAATACTTCAATAACATTTGCAAAAAAATATTAATAAATGAATCTTATGTTTTTAGGAGATGGAAGCCTAAACACCTTGAAAAAGATTTTTGCAGCACCCCTAAGATTGTCAAGTGCAGGTTAAAAGTCACCTATTCTGACACCAGTTTTCCGAAAAGGTATTTTTTCATACTAATTGTAGCAAAAATATTTAATATGATAATTACAATATCTTCAATACAATATATTCAATTACAATACAATACATTCAATTACAATTACAATATATTCAATAGAAGTCCTTGATGGTAGCTGCAAATTGCCGCAGAATGCAATGATAAGGCGTAGGAGTGCCTTAACACCCAGAAGATGTATGATACATCAAATTTTGTTTCGGGATTAAAACGCAATGCAATAATTTAAAGGATAAGTTCCAACAGAGTATACAATGTTCTGAGAAGTTTTCAAATATTCCGGAAATTTAAAATGTAAGGGCAAGAATTTTGATATTGTCTCAATTAAGAGAGCATACTCAAAGACCAGACAGTTTATAAAGCGCAAGGGTTTAGTTATAGTTTTAACTAACCTCCTTACTTATACAGAAACTATTCAAAGATTTTGTCAAATATAACTTTATTAATGATTGATTAGATAGCAAAATAACTATTAAATGGAGAGATAACAAACAAGAATGTCTCGTAAATGAATTTTAATCCTAGGAATTTAGTTTTATCTCAATTTAGATATCAATATATATATATTTTGTTTTTAGGATTATTTTGTTTGGAAAGTATTCATTTTTTTTTAAAATGTGCTGTTCTTTTTATCCTTTTAAATTATTGTGTTACTTGTCATTCCTTCTAAATTTGTCATTCCATCATCAATACACCTGCGCTTTTTACTTCTTAGTTTTTAAGTTTTTAATATATTATTATTAGTCATTCAGTAATTAATATGAATATGATATTTCTCTTCAATTTGTAGTACTTTAAAAATATGTCTGTAATATACTTTAATTAATAGTAGTCAGTTATTTCTGTTTAGTTTATAATTCTTCAAAAATATGTCTGTGATATATTTGAAAATATATTTTGTATTTCGTATGTTTTGTTCTTATTTCAAATAATTAATTTTTTTCAGATTTTTGGGCTGTATTGATTTTATGTGCAAATGTAGAAGTAATACCAGGGGTTAATTTACATGTGGTTATGTACATGTGCTGCCATGTAGTGATCTATTCGTAAATTAAAATGAGTGTAACGTCAAATCGCCCGAGATAGCGATCTATAAAAACTTAAAAACAAAGAAGTGAAAAGCGCAGGAGTATTGACGATGGGATGATAAAGTTTAAAGGAATGACAAGTAATGCAAAAATTTAAAAGAATAAAAAGAACAGCAAATTTTTAAAAAGAACGAATACTTTCCAGACAAAATAATCCTAAAAACGAAATATATATATATTAATATCCAAATTGAGATAAAACTAAATTCCTAGAATTAAAACTCATTTGCGAGACATTCTTCTTTATTATCTCTCCATTTAATAGTTATTTTGCTATATAATCAATCATTAATAAACTTTCAACGTTTTTTTCAACGTAAGTAACCAAAACCTTGAACTACTTTTAATTTATACCAATTGTAGCTTAAACCTATCTTTCGTTTTAATCCAGTTTTTATTGCAAGGAGGTTTAGTTAAAACTAAAACTAAACCCTTGCTTTTTATAAACTGCCTGGTCTTTGAGTATACTGTCTTAATTGAGACAATATCAAAATTCTTGCCCTTACATTTTACGTTTCCGGAATATTTGGAAACTTCTCAGAACATTGTATCCTCTGTTAGAATTTATCCTTTGAATTATTGCATTGTTTGTTAATCCTTCTTAATCCTGAAACAAAATTTGATCATACATCATATCATACATCTTCTGGGTGTTAAGGCACTCCTACGCCTTATCACTGCATTCTGCGGCAATTTGCAGCTACCACCAAGGACTTCTATTGAATATATTATTATATCATATTAATTGAAGATATTGTTATTATGGTATTAATTATTTTTGCTGCAAAAATTATGAAAAAATACCTTTGCGGAAAACTGGTGTTAGAATAGGGGATTTTTAACCTGCACTTGACAATCTTATAGGTGCTGCAAAAATCTTTTTCAAGGTTTTTAGGCTTTCATCTCCTAACTAAGAACATAAGATTTATTTATTAATATTTTTTGCAAATAGTATTAAAGTATTTAGAGTTATAATTACTTGGCCTTGTTCTTAGAGTTGAAGATTGTTCTTCTGATTCTGTATCAGAGCATTCTCCAGTGACTTGAAAAAAGTATTCACCAAAATATAATTATATATAAACAAACACATGAAAAACACATCTCAACTACAATACGCGATGACAACTTATAGAAAATGGCGATAAACAATGTAGATTAAGCTAGCTGCTAGATCAATGAAATTGGAAATCGTAGCGCCATCCTTCGGTCAATTTGCATACCAATCCATTTTAAAACACGGTAATCTACATTTGCTCGGAGATTACCGGCCATGAGTCCTTCTTTGTCTGGTACCAATATGGCGGCTTTGGGTAACTGCGCTTGTCTAGTTGACAATTAAATTAGTTTGCGGCTGAAGACGCATGAGCGCTGAATGAACTGTATGGTAAGGTGTGCCGGCACCCTTACAACTTACTCCGCTCTCCGTTTGCTTGCTTTGTAATCTATGTCGTGTGGTGAATCACTTTGAATTATTTTCAACCGTGTGTTTTTATTATTTCAATTTGATTATGTTTAAATTCAGTGTTTTAATGGGTTCGTTCCATCCGAGCAAATCTGACAGTCCGAAACTGTTTCAAACAGTTTCAAACTAGATCAAACTCTTTCTGATTTTTTCATGGCAGTTGGCAATGGTTTGGTTTGAATACATCCAACGCGTTCGAACTCGGAGCTCACTCGATTATATTCGGTGGTTTTCGGTACAAATCGGAATTCGTTTGCGGGTTATTTACGGCCGTTCATCGTTCGATGTTTGATCACAGATAAGGAATAAGTTTTTAAAAAGTTTTTATAATATTAAAATATTATAAGTTTTTTTATAATATTAAAATAGTGTTTAGTCAAATTCAGAACTTTAGAACAGTTTTCAGTTTTTTAATTTAGTTAGTATAGTGCAATTTTTATTTAAAATGAGTGATGATGAATTTTTTTACGATTTTAAAAAATACGAGGACGACGATGATTTAGATTTATTAAAGTTTGTGGAAGTTGAAAGAAATAAGGGTTATCTTGGTAAGTAAAATGCAATCTGTTACTAAAATATTTTATTATATTTATTATAACATTACAAAATTAATTATAATATTACAAAATAATATTATAAAATAAAAATAATATTACAATAATATATTATTGTAATATTATTTTTATTTTATATTATTTTGTAATATTATTTTTAACTATTAATAAATCGATCACTATCATAAATATGTTAAGTGATTACTCAATAATTTGTTCAATGTGGCTATAGACAATAATCTTATTTTGGCAGACAAAGTGGTTCCATTGTATGACGAGGCACAGTTTATGGAACACTTTAGAGTTAGCAGAAATGTTTGTAAACAAATATCTGACCGATATAAAGCAAGTGCAATCTACAATTTAAATACATATGGAATATATGGAAAAATAAGTGCTTTACATCAGGTGCGGCATAAATTTGTGGTTGTTCTAAAAAAAATTATAATGAAATAAAATTTTAGGTGCAGATTTTTTTGTGGTTTGCGGGACATGAAAGTGCCAGCTACAGGGATGTCAGTGATCGTTTTGATATCACTTTAAGTTCTTTGCATAGAATAATTCGAAGAGTTACTTCTTTTCTAAGTTGTATCAGTTCTGAATTTATAAAGTGGCCAAATCATGAAGAAAAGTTATTGATTGCTGAAGGATTTTTACAAAAAGGATTTCCTAATGTAATTGGAGTAATCGATGGGTGCCACATACGAATAAACAAACCTGCAAAGGATTCAAGATCTTTTTTAAACCGAAAAGGATACTGTTCTATAAATGTGCGGTAACTTTGTTTATATACTAAAATTTCGAAACATGTTCTAATTTATTTTTTTCAGATGCAAGCTGTTTGTGATGATCAGAACAAAATTATCGATGTTTTCATTGGATGTCCTGGTTCAGTACATGATGCTAGAGTATTCAGAAGATCGAATTTGGGTTTAAATTTAAATCGAAAATGTGGTCGATATTTTTTATTAGGAGACGCAGCTTACCCGCTGAAAACAAATTTAATGACACCATTTCCAAATATTAATTCTCTAACGCAAACCCAGAAACATTTTAATAAAAAACTTAACAGTGCTCGAAGTACTATTGAACATACATTTGGGTTATTAAAACAAAATTTTAGGCAACTCTATCATTTAAAAATAAAAAACATTCATTTTATTTGCCATTTTATAAGAGCATGCTGTGTTTTACACAATTGGAGCATAAAAAAAAATTTTGAATGTTTGCAGAGAAACCAAAATCTTTCTCGCTTGAACATTGAGTCTTCGGTTGAAGATGAAGTTAATGCCGAAGAAATAAATGCCCGATTGCTTCGCGATCAGATAGCAGCTGCTTTACTATAAATAATTATAAAATATCAAGAGGATTCATCATTTCATAAATAGTCGTAATGAATACAGAAGAAATTGAAAATAACATTTTAAAAATATTCAAAATGTTCTTTCATATTAGACATTTGGTATTTCACTAGTTTAATGTGTTATATAATGAAATAATTTGTACTTAATAATTAATAATATATTCAAAAAAACATATCATGGTATAATAATTAATATAAAAATAATTAATTTATACATCTCCATATTTATTTCTTAAAATTGCTAATTTCTCTCTTTCTATCTCTAATATTTCTCTATAAAATTTTCTCTTATCGTCTCTGATTTCTTGTAACGTAGTCCTTCTTCTTCTGATCCGCCTTTCTCTAGCAACAGTTGATGGCTCAATATCAAAATCTGATTCTGACGAGTCATCATCTGCTGCTGTTTCAATAGCAGATCGTGAAGGCCCAGTTTGTAGCATCACATCCGAAACGTTATTTTCATTTTCTGAATTCAATAGGCAGATAGGGTTTGTGCTTTGCGCCCTATTGAAAATTTCATTGAAATCTTCTAAATATTCAAAGGTTGACCGCCGTGGATCTGTTAAAATAAATATTAATATGTGGAAAAAACACTAAGATGTTCACTGCCAAACATGCTTATTACCGGATTCATTTCTATCAATGACTAATTTATAACTTCTTAGTAGAACCCTCCATCTATTTTCCACGTTATTTTCTTTAAAGCTTGTGCCAAATTCCTCATTAATATTTTCGCTGATTTTCTTCCACATCTCTTTCTTGTTTCGTACATTCAGCGAACGCAATTGAGGTACGTATAATTTATAATAATTTATCAAGGATTTGGTCCGTTCTATGGTCCAGACCGTATCCTGCGGCTCACGTACCTGTACATCTGGCATTATCAAAAATTCTTCCAATTCTTCAAAATAATAGCAAATTTATTTAAACTTAGATATTAAAAATGTTTATAATTTTTAATTTAATTTATAAATACCTCTCTCCATTTTTATAGTCAACTAAATCTATATTTAAAATATATAGAATAAAAATAAATTTATGAACGTTTTCATCAACTATCTTGTACACTATAATAATGAGAAATACCACCTTAAATAATAAAAAACTCGTTTTGTACAAAAAATGTTTTTCTTTACCTAAAGATTAATCATTTCCACTTTCACATAATTTTCCCTTTTACCGTTTTTTATTGCATTAAATTCCAACAACTATTTTCTTTAATTTGAATAATTTTCAGCATTAACTTGTAACATTTTACAGATCATATTCTAATAATAATAATAATTATTATTATATATAATAATAATTATTATTATATATAATAATAATTATTATTTTAATACATAAATATAAGTTTAATATATATATATATATATATATATATATATATATATATATATATATATATATGTTTAATTTGAGTTTAATATTCGGGCGTAACATCAATAAAAATAGTATGAGTTTTTTTAAAAAAATTATTTATTTAAAATCCATACGTTTCGGCTAGCATCTTAGCCATCATTCAGTGGTAATCAAGTTAAAATTTTGTATCCTAATATAGCATATGAAACCATTTTTAATCCATGGTATGAGTAATTGCACATTGATACGATATGTATTTTTTAACACAAACATCACAAATGGTAAAACACACTAATAATCATGACAACTTGACAAGTTGTCGAAACTATGTATTTACTCTTCGGAGTTTAGGATAGAAATTTCTATCGTAATAGGATAGAGATTTCTATCCTAAACTCCGAAGAGTAAATACATAGTTTCGACAACTTGTCAAGTTGTCATGATTATTAGTGTGTTTTACCATTTGTGATGTTTGTGTTAAAAAATACATATCGTATCAATGTGCAATTACTCATACCATGGATTAATAATGGTTTCATATGCTATATTAGGATACAAAATTTTAACTTGATTACCACTGAATGATGGCTAAGATGCTAGCCGAAACGTATGGATTTTAAATAAATAATTTTTTTAAAAAAACTCATACTATTTTTATTGATGTTACGCCCGAATATTAAACTCAAATTAAACATATATATCAACATCAAATTCAAGACTATTCAAAAATATATATATATATATATATATATATATATATATATATATATTAAACACATTCAAATAAAATATAACTTAATTATATCAATGAATTTGCTTTTTAATATTTCCTAGTTATATATCGTTATGTCGCTTTAATATAATATTCTACAATATTTGCACTCCTGTAAATTCATTAAATTTTTATTGTTCTATTTGAGATTAAATAACATTATATTTTAATCGTATTAAATTACGGAGTTTCTGTTTGTGCCGGGTACATTGTCTAGGATGATAGTTTGGTTTCAAACTCATCGGACTGCTTGATGGAACGCATTACTGACAGTCCGCATCAGTTTGAAATCCGAAATTTTGGATGGAACAGAAAAAAGTGTTCTGCGCATGCGCGGACAGTTCCGGACTGTCAGATTGGCTCGGATGGAACGAACTCAATGTATGATTAATAACCTAAATTGCCGATAAAATTATTTGCAGGCTTTCGGTTAGTATTTTGGTGTGCCGTAGTTTCGCTTATTGATTCAATCTGTGAAGAAATAACATTTGACAGCTTTCTGATCTGCATTCTCTTTGTTTTTATTTGCGAAATATTCGTTTGTAACGTTCTTGCCTTTTGCTTATTGCTTATTGATTTAAGTTTGCACTAAACATTTGAATTATTTATCAGATTATTGAGTACGCACTCACTAAATTTTTCTATCGATATTGTTTCAAGGCACATGCTAGTCACTTTTTAACAATTTCTTATATGAGCGTTTCATGTTTTCTTTTTTTTCATATGATTTAAAATCATATCACTTTCATATTTTTATTTGTATACATCAAATATTATAATGTTTTATAATTTCAGATGTCGACAAAGAAACACTAATTAGGAGATGAAAGGTTATGTGAAATATTACTGTACAAAATCGTTCTATATTATATGGCGGTACGAGGTAACTTGGGCAATAGATTGCTAATGTAAGTACCTTTATGTCTTTCATATCAATCTGGAAAACTATAATTAAACATTCAAATTATCAACTAAAATAGTAACATTTTATAAACTGATTTGTATCCTATAGAAGTTTTGCAACTAAATAGAGCTAAAAATGTTTGTTCAGTAACATTCCTAGCCTTTTTATGTAATTTACTGTTTTGTTCCTCAGTAGACCCACCCCTTATCGGTGTGCTGCATGGGGTGAGTAGACAATGTTCTAATGGGTAACCTAAAACTCCTGTAATGTATAATTGATAAGTTTTCTCTTCCTTGATTTACTGTAGTAAATATATCTATGAATTACCCAATAAATAGGTCTCGTCATCAGCATTACAATTCACTAGTAATTCTCTAACTGCTAAGACCTGCCAAATGGTAGTGTCATGTGTTATCCAATGATAATCGTTCATCAGCATTACATATCTGATAATATTTATTATTAAGTTACCCTTCTGAATACCTGAACAATCAAATAATTATTACTATTTCAACATTAATAGAGGAATAACCCTTCTGATTCATATAAATATCTGCTGGTGCCACAGTGAACTTTTGTGGAAGCTTAACTATCTTCTGATTGTATCTTATTTCTTACTGCAGCTAAACTTAATCTATCAGTCTTTGGCAGTAATAATATTATTTTCATTCATATTGATAAACATTAAATTCGGTTTATTATTTTTTTTAAGATCTTATTTTTTGTTATAGTAAGCAGCTACCCTTCGGTGACCATACATACAAATCACAATAATTTATACCAGACACTTGCTGGAAAGAATTGTATATGGTAACACCATTATTTTTGTTCACACTAGTCAACACTGCTGCTGCAGTGTTATTTTCAGTAGCAGCAGTAACTAGCATTCAATATATAGATTTTGGGATTCTAACTGTTCAGGTCGATAGTACCTTTTATCAGTGAATCGATATCATTGTGATTTCCGTACTCCGCTACAATTATTTGGCAAATTGAATTGAATTAAAATAGTGTTTAATTTATTAAACAAGTTCTGCAAGACACACACAGTTTACGAATTTCTGGAAAATACTTCCACTTGCATTAACACTTGGCATTGAGTTTAATATACATTGCTTTTTTTTTAATTATATTTATTTATTTATTTGATATAATTTGTACATACTGTATCTCAGTCAGACAATTGTTCTGGTATGAGAGATCACAGCAATTATAACAAAATAAATCTAAATTTTATGTAACAGACTTACATTAAGAAATCTATATATTTTTACTTATTACTATATACACAGAATGCTTTGTGTGCATACACACATACTTATACTTAATTGTATTTTATATTTTACCGAATAGAAGAAATATTTAAAAGTATTAAAAGAAGAATTTTCAATTTCTTATGTAATTTTTCAATTTAATTTTGAAATTGTTTTAGGTCCGTAATTGTCTTTAGTTCGTCCGGTAGTTATTGTAAAGGCTTGTGCACTTCTCAGAGGTCTTGCAAATCCTTTACTAGTTTTTGCATGTTTCATATGAAAGTTTCGGTTTTGTCTCATTTGTTGGTCGTGTATATCCTGGTTGTCTCTTTTGTGGTGCAAGTTTTGATTTTGTTATTTTTTATTTTGAATATTAGTATACATTTTTCTATTTTTTATTATTTTGTGTAGTGGTATGATCTTTGTCTTTTGTAGTAGTTCTTTTGTCAGGGTGAGGTAGGAATAATTGTAAGTTGATTTTGTTGCTCTATTTATCATTTTTGTAGTGTCTTATATTTTTTATTTGTCGTAGGCCATAATCGGCATTATATGAGTATTTAATATTAGTTTCTTGTTCTTAATTCCAAGATGTCGTATTCTTCTTATGGCTCCAGAGAGTGCTGCAGTTTTTGCTTAATTTTTTCAATTTGGTCACTCCATTCTAGTTTCTGGTTTATAATCATACCCAAATA